CCCTCCCCCCAATCCCTAGCAACCTTAGGTTTGTTTTCTTCTTCTGAAAGTTCAATGTATTGTTGTGGTCTTTTCTTTCTCTCTTTCCTTCATTCTTTCCTTCTTCCTTCCTTCCCTCCTAGAAGCCAGTTATGATGAGAACATGCGGTATTTCTGTTTCTTTGTCTGGCTTATTTCACTTATAATTTTCTCCAGACTCATCTGTAGGGAAAGTGAAGGAAAATGGTCAGGTGTTCAGAATCTTGCCAAGCATTTGATGTAAATATGCATGTGTTTTTATCAGGTGTTCCTTGGTTATTGTCTAATGTAAGTGCACATGTGTGCCCAGGTGTCTTGGGTTATAGACTTAAGTATAAAGGATGAATGGCTCTGATCCACAGTGCCCCCTGCCCCCAGGATGCCTCGGGGGCGGGGGTACAGGGAGGCTGCTGCTGCCGAAGGCTGTTGCTGCTGAAGGCTGTTGCTGCAAGCTGTTGCTGCCAGTGCCCCGGGATGCCCAAAGAGGCCACTGCTGCTGCTGCTTCAAGCTACTGCTACTACTGCTGCTGCCAGCTGCTGCTTCAAGCTACTGCTGAGGACTGAGCTCATGTCATCTGCCAATGGCTCCTGGGATCTTTTCCCAATTACCTAGCATGGACCTGCATGTGAGGGCTCTAGTGACCCAGCCTGGCATATGAGGGGTCTGGTGACCCAGTCTGGCATGTGAGGGGTCTGTTGATCCAGTCTGTACAATGGGTTTGGAGGGTTGGGGCCCTAGCCCTGACAATACAAATGGAAACTTAGGATAACTAAAATAATGAAATGTTTTGGCTTTAGTTATGAATCGTTTTAGTCATACAATTAGCTTAGGTATTACCCCAACCAGGCAATTTGCATAGTCTGTAGCAATACAATTGGCAATGGCTGTAACCCAACAATTGATGTAGTTGTGAAGCTTTACATCATCCATGTTGCTGCTAAATGGCAAAATATCATTCTTTTTTATGGCTGAGTAGTATTCCATTGTGCATTTAACCACCACTTCCATGGAGAGGCCTCTTGTTGTCTAGATGGGTTCCTCAGCTAAACACTGGGGAGAAAACTCCTCTTGGGCATGTGGGGGTTCTACCAGCTTGTCTTGCTCTGGTTTTCCAGGTTCCAAGCTTCCTTTCCTTCTTAGCAACAGACCGAGGTTGAGGCTGCGTGGAGTTGTCTAGGTGCAACAGAGGGTGGAGACTAAGACAGTTCACATTCAGGATTCCCTTTTTAGTACATTGGGTGATTCCTAATAAAATTTAGAAGTCTTGGAAGGAGTCGCTTACAATTCTAGAATTTTTGTGAATTGTCCTCCGTAATCACTCAGGATCTATCGTTTAGGGTTTTGAAAGACTTATTTGCAAAATGCACTACTTTCACCTGAAATTGATCCAGATAATTTCTGCTCTGTTGGATCATCAGTAAAACTCAGCTGAAGATAATGGTGAGTAGAGAGAAGAGAGAAACATTTATTTACTGCCAATGGGAAATTTTACATCAATAATTCTGCAACAGCCTCTAGAATCTTGCCCTAAGCTCCCTAATCACCTCACATTAAAGCCTGGAAGATATGCCCTTATGATTCCCTTTAATCATCCTCTAAAACGATGACATTACAGGAGCAGACCTCTGACCCAAATTCTAAACTTAATAGCGTAGAGACCAATTTTTCCAATGTTTCTGTATTGCTAAGAGGACTGCTGTATTTACTGCAGTAACAAAATATTCCTGGCTTGTGTTTTTTTCTAAATAAGGAGTTGATAAAAGTCTGATTTGACAAACACATTGGTCTTCATCTTTGGTCTCCTGTTTTGATTTCATATGTGTTTTTCAATACAGAACTATTCAATTTGTTCTGAGGATCATTAAAGAATTTCCTGACCTTTAAACCGCCACAAAGATGAGAGGGGAAATCTAGAAATGCAGCCAGTTTGGGTGTAAAGCAACTGTAGCAAAGTCCCCAAATAGAAATAGAAGGGTTGTTTTGGTTTGGTTTGTTTTCTTGTCAGCCAAGGGCTATGATTCCTAACCTAAGTCCTGTTCATTTACTTCATAGGTACTTCCAGGTTCTGTGAATAAAAACACGAGCTGAATGACTTCAAAAAGGCAACAGCAAATGGAAATATTGTCATATAAAAAAACTGTCCTCCAAATAACTGCGTCGAAAGGAACCTCATGTTTTACTAAACAAAATCCGAAATTAAAAGCAAAGCAAAAGTAAAGTGGCATTAAGCATTCTTGTCTCATTTCACGCTATGTTCATAATGAAGTCACAGACAAAGAACGTTAGGTAAGGTAGGAACAAATATGAACGCAACCTAGCAGAAACCAAATCAAAAGTGAGTGACCGGGCGACAGGGGCAGATCCTTCAGCACTGAGTTAACAAGGTTACTTCCCGGGTCAGAGTTTTAAGGAGAAACAGAACCGCCCGGGGCCGGCCCGGTGGCGCACTGCTACAGTGCACCGCTTGGGAGTGCGGTGGCGCTCCCGCCGAGGGTTCGGATCCCACATACAGACCGGTTCCCACTCACTGGCTGAGCAAGGTGCGGGCACGGCACCGAGGGTTGTGATCCCGTTGCCTTTCCCGGTCCGGTACGGGCGCGACACTGAGGGTTGCGATCCGTTGCCGGACACAAAAAAAAGACAAAAAAAAAGGAAAAAAAAAATAGTAGCAGCAGCCACATTAGTAGCATGATAGTGATGTGAGGGAGAAATTCAGAGCCGGTTTCCAGGGCCAGTGAAGTAAGTGATATCAGCGTGGAGTTGACTAGGGAAGAAGTGTATATAAAAGTCCGACAGCCCTGGGTGTGATTCTTACCAACTCTATGATCTTGGGCAGGTTACTTCACCTCTTAGGTCCGTAAGTTTTCTCCTCTGTACAATGGCGGTAACAGTAGGATATAGCTGAGAGAGTTGTAAGGATCAAATAGTATATGATACTTATCATAGTGTAAGGCGTATGGAAGCTCTCAATAAGTCGAAGCTTTGATATGGGTGGGGGAAGTTAGAGTTCTGCTTGTCCTTTTGCAATTGTAAATTCACACCTCCAGAGAGATGATCCCAGTCCTCAGCAGCTTCTACAGCTTCCCTCTCTGGATCACTTTTCCTCCCACTCCATGCCACACATCTCCACAATTCCTCTTTAATAAGGGGAATTCTTATGAGTCTCAAGGTTGTGTCCATGTAGGGAATCATAAGGAAGTTTTGTAGGTGAAACATGAATGTAACATTTGGATTAAAACAATGTTAGACGTCACATCTCCATTCTTTTTAAAAATTGGGCTTGAGGGCTGGTCTGTTAGCTCAGTTGGTTAGAGTGTGGTGTTAAAACACCAAGATCAAGGATTCAAATCCTCTTACAGGCCAGCCACCAAAAAAAAAAAAAAAAGCTTGAAAATAAATAAGCTCTGTAGCTAAAATTCTTCTAATGAATCTTGGTATTGATTCAAACATTGCCACGTAATATGGTACCTAATGTAATAATTTGTTTTTACATGCTGATGTTGAAAGTAGTTCAGCTAAACTTGCGACAGAGTTTTGTGAATTTTATCTTCTAATGAATCTTGGTATTGATTCAAACATTGCCACGTAATATGGTACCTAATGTAATAATTTATTTTTACATGCTGATGTTGAAAGTAGTTCAGCTAAACTTGCGACAGAGTTTTGTGAATTTTAATCAAATCTTTTTTTTCCTCCAGTCATCGGCTTTAGTCAGAGGGCCCCTCCCGACAGCCAGTGTCACTCCTAGCATACCCTTTTCGGCATCTCTGTTAGGAACATTACCCATTGGTGCGAGGTATGCTCCTCCACCTTCCTTCTCAGAATTTTATCCACCTTTGACTTCATCCTTAGAAGATTTTTGTTCTTCTTTAAATTCATTTTCCATGAGTGAATCCAAACGAGGTAAGAATCAAAACTAAATTGTAAGAAATCATTATAGTTAATTTTCTTTAAAAAAAAATGTGTTTGGCAATTATTTAACTGACTCTAGGTAGTAGGTACCTGCATTATTTTCATTGGAGCTAAAAGTGTAAAGCCGAAGCCTGCAATTTTGAATTGACCTTGACTGTACTGTGTTATCACGGAGATCAAGGAGCAAAGGCCTGAGAATAGCAGTGTATGTGGCACTGGTTTTTATATTGGATAGTTTGTTAAGCTGAGTGTTTACTGTTTGGGGGATGAAATGATGTTTAATACTTTCTCTAAGAAAGAAGAATCTTCTCTTAAAGGGTCTTTCAGACAGGTTTTCTAGCCTTTTAAATTCTGATCTAGGCAAACACTAATTTTAAGACTAATTTAAAATCTGTGTTTAGAATGATAACAATTATATCTATTTTAGACTATCTATTGAGCTCAGCAACCGTTGGCTTATGCCTTAATTTTATAGGGGATCACTGAGTTTTGGGGCTGGCTCCTGTTTCTGAAATTGTAGGTTTAATATATACTTTAAACAATAATGAAAAAATTTCATATTTTTCTGAGGCATTGTCACATAGTTAAAGGCCAAAAGTCTAAATAACTGATTTAAAGAATTACGACTGAAGAGATTAATATATATGGGAGACAGAAGGGAAGAGAGGAAATAATGGAGTGGTAGACTAAAGACAGTAATTGAACCTTACTGATTTTTTAATAATATGAGTTCTTGCTTCATGTTTTCAAAAAGAGAGGCTCTTTTCCCATTTAATTGTGAATAATTTTCTTAAGTCTTTTTAACAGTCATACATAGTAGGCTCTGCCTTAGTGTATTTCTCTAAAGATAGCTTTTTATTCAAATTTGTTTGACTGAGGGTTATTTATGCCCTTGGTTTTCAGAGGGAAGGAAAAACTCCTGAGCTCTGAGTGTCAACAATGAGCAAGAAAGCTTCTAGGGACTGGGATGGGAAAATAAAGTGGAAAGCCATAGCCAGTAAGCTATTAAGCTCTGATGTTCTTATTACATGATTAGAATGAAAAGGTCTGTTGAAGTTTTTTTATTATTTTAGATCTGTCCACCTCAACTTCTAGAGAGGGAACAACGCTTAACATCAGTAATTCTTCCCTTTCGCTTGTAAGTGCCACTTCCTCTTTTGTAAATACCTCGCTTCAATTGAAAATAGGTCTTTTACTTAAGTAACTGAGTTATTTGAATGATCATGACCTCTCCCTTAAATTTCGTGTGTGCTGTGGGAAATATGATTATTAGACTCTTCTGGAACATTCAGTAATAAATGCTCTATGTTTAAGACTGGATCTATCAAAGCAAATTAATCACTATCATTAATCTTACACTAGACAGTATAAGAGGCTTTAGCACAGTATAAACAAATCAAGGAAATATAAGATCAAGGCATGTTAATGTGTATACTGTTGAAGCAGAACAATTACCTGTTACTTTTAACAACTCAGATGATTAAAAAAGGGGGGGTGGGCCTAGAGACCAAAAGAGGAAAATGTAGAGACAGTCAGTTTTTAATATAGAAGATCATTAAGGAGGAAGAGTGCAGACTTCAATCTGTGAAGAATATCTTATTCTTCAGATGAGTTCAGTTTCCTTCTTTAGTGACAGTACAATACTTATTGCCTTCTTTTTTCTTTCCTTATTCTTCTTGCAGATAAATGGACCAGGTAGCCTGTTTGCTTCTGACAGTTTCCTGGGAATTTCAAGTCATCTTAGAAATGATTTTGGAAACTTTTTTGGAAGTGCAATTACTAAACCATCTCTATCAGTGACCCCAAGACATCCCCTCGAAGGAACCCATGAATTGAGACAAGCCTGCCAGATCTGTTTTGTAAAATCAGGTCAGGACCAAATGAGTGGGCAGAGAGTATTAAACTAACTGATAATCAGAAAGTTCTTAGGAATTTGTAAATATATGTAAACAATAGCAGGTATTGTGACTCTAGAAAGAATTCAAAATAAGAATTGAAAAGAAGCAGCAGTTATATTGAATTTGGGGCTTTGGGAGGCTAACAGGATAAGTCTCTGGTCTTATTTGTTATAATTTTATAGAATCATGTGGAATAGAATACCTGACTTTTGGAAGCTTTTAAAATTTTTTATGAAATTTCTTATGTTCTAAGTATACCTTTAAGAATTTGATAATTTTCGAGCTGGCCGATTAATTCAGTTGGTTATACTGTGGTGCTCATAACTAAGGTTCGATCCCTGTACCGGCCAGCAAAAAAAAAAAGAATTTGATAATTTTCAAATAGAGCAAGAACTAGAAAAAAGCATAAGACCAACATATGAAACAATGTTTATGAAAATTAAAGTACTTTCTGTTAGTTTGTTTCATATCTTTACCCATATATGAAGTGAAATAAATGCAGTTTATTCTCCTCTGGAGTCAACTTCATTTTCTTTCTTAGTTTTATGTGTTTTTTGGCAGCTAGCCCGTACAGGGATCTGAGCCCTTGACTTTGTTGTTGTCAGCACCACACTCTACTGAGTAAGCTAACCAGCCAGCCCAGTTTTATGTTTAACAGTGTTCTTTACTTTTTATAAGCCATCAGAATTCCTATCCACATTATTTCCCTAATGGTTCAATAAGGGTATGTGTTGGCAGGACTAGTGTTGGATAGAACTTTGTATTGTTTGATAAAAGGCAAAAATCTACTTTAGTAGCTGCATCCCATGTTGGGGTTGTGAAAATGGCATGTTTGTGGGAATTTAGTAGTCAGTGTTTATCTGTTCACATCTGCTTGTAAATGCGCCTGTAAAACAAAATGATACATTTTGTGCATATGAGCAATCCTTTCTACATCTTTTTCAGGCCCTAAGTTAATGGATTTCATTTACCATGCTAATATAGATCATAAATGTAAGAAAGATATTTTAATTGGTAGGATAAAGAATGTTGAAGATAAATCATGGAAAAAAATACGTCCAAGACCAACAAAAACAAATTATGAAGGACCATATTATATATGTAAAGGTATATATTGTAATTAATTGTTGTACATTACATAAGTGATAAACTACAGTATTTGCTATATTTTTCATAATGGCTCCAGTACTGATTATTCCTTAAAATGTTTAGACAGAATTCATAGCAAGTCCCTAGGATTGAGACATTAGTGTTTTTTATATTATTATTATTATTTTTTAGACTATAAGATATTAAAAACAAAATAATAAAAAAGACTATTTTATAGTTGTTTATGGAAATAGGGCTTTGACCAGGTTTTAAAAAGAAAATGGTCTCAAACTTACAGTTCTCTGACTTAGTCTAAATAGAATCAGAACACTGAGCTAAAGCTTTGAAAATGTTACTGTGTTTGAAATGCTTTTGACAGGGAACTTGGTATTTTCACTTCTGTCCATCCACTTCATCTGAAGAAGCTTTGAATGTCCCTAAATGATTTTTTAAACTTAGGTGGAGTATATGAGAGTATCGAGGCTTTTTTCCCTGTCTGCAATAAAAATAATTTAGGCTTGAAGTGTTAATACCGTCCCTGAGTGACAGTAATATGTGTATCATTGTTTGAAGCTGTCCATGAATTGTTATAAAAATCCATATGATGCCCTAAATGTGTTTAATATTTGTTGGCTTCAAAAAAACAGTTGCTTTGTTTTAAATGTCTTTTCATTCCCTGTTTTTGTAGATGTTGCTGCCGAGGAGGAATGTAGATATCCAGGCCACTGCACATTTGCTTATTGCCAAGAAGAGATAGATGTCTGGACTTTGGAACGGAAAGGGGCATTCAGTCGTGAGGCTTTCTTTGGTGGCAGTGGAAAGATCAACCTTACTGTGTTTAAACTACTCCAAGAGCATCTTGGAGAATTTATATTTCTTTGTGAGGTATTTTCCCCAGGACTTATTTTCCACTGTAAAATTGGTGATAGTTTCTTCTTTTATTACCTTTTTTGATTGACACATTTTATGTATTTATGGGTACAGTATGATATTTCCATACATGTGTACAATGTGTAATGATTAAATTGGAATAATTAACATATCGCTCACCTCAAACATTTTATCATTTGTGTTGGGACCATTTAATATTCTCTCTTTTAGTTATCTGAAAATACACAATAAATTATTGTTAACTATATATAGTCACCCTAACTCACCTCAAACATTTTATCATTTGTGTTGGGACCATTTAATATCCTCTCTTTTAGTTATCTGAAAATACACAATAAATTATTGTTAACTATATATAGTCACCCTAAAGTGCTATAGAAAACTAAAACTTATTTCTCCTATCTAGCTGTAAGTTTGGATCTGTTAACCAACCTCTTGCTATCCCCCCATTCTGCTCTCTACTTCTGTGAGATCAACTTTTTTAGCTTCCATGTATCAGTGAGAACATGTGGCATTCATCTTTCTCTGCCTGGCTTATTTCACTTAACATAATGTCCTCGAGGCCCATCCATGTTGCCACTAATGACAGGATTTCACTCTTTTTTTATGGCTGAATAGTATTCCATTCTGTACATATACTACATTTTCTTTATCCAGTCATCTGTTGATGGACACTTAGGTTGATTCCATGTCTTAGCTATTGTGAATAGTGCTGCAGTAAACATGGGGAGTGCAAATATCTCTCTGACATACTGATTTCCTTTCCTTTGGATAAATACCCAGTAGTGGGATTGCTGGATCAGATGGCAGTTCTATTTTTAGTTTTTTGGCATGAGGTGGTCTTATTGTGTGTTTTTGTTCTTTTTTTAAAATTTTTTTTTATTGAATCAAAATTGATTATACATATTTTTGGGGTTCAACATTAAGATATGTTGATCAAATCAATATTACTAACATATATATTGTTACAAATCATAATTATTCTTTATCCCCCTTGTCCAATCTGTCCCCATCTCCCCTCTCCTCCCCCCTCTAATTACCCTAGATTTCTTCTCTCCTTCTGAAAGAATAATGGTTACTCTGTTGGTTTGTTGCCTAGATGTTCTGTCCAATGCTGAGAGGTGTGATCAGGTCCCCCCATATTATCATAGAGCAGATGCCTCTTCTGTCACTCTGAAATGGGCTTTGTGGGGAGAGACATCCTCTTCTTTTCTTTATCTCTGCTTGTGACTCTCCTTGTGTCAATGCACTCCAGTAGTTGGCAGACCATCTGCATGGTGATTGTGGCTTCTAGTCGCTTTTGCGGCAGCCATGGTTATTGTGGTGGCTGTGGTGGGCCACCCACATGGAGGTGACGTTTTTGGCATGCTCCTTGGTACTGGCGGTGTGCCTGGTTGTGGGGTGTGTCTGGTCCCCGGCTCCATACTTGGGTCCCAGGTGGGCCCCAAGGTGCTGACACAGTGTGCCTGGTTGTGGGAGGGGGGGTCCAGTCCCCTTCTCCATGCCTCGGGTCCCTGGTTGGGCCTCGAGGTGCTGGCACAGTGTGCCTGGTTGTGGGAAAGGGATCTGGTCCCCGGCTCCAAGCCTCCGGTTCCCAGGCAGGCCCCAAGGTGCTGGTGGTGTGCCTGGGCCGGAACTAATTTTTTGTCCTTTGCTTCTAATATAGTTCCTGTGGGAACCAGTACTTGAGCTGTGTGGTTGAGCTAAATTGCTGCTTTGCTGCTGTTTCCCTAGGGAAGGCTTTTTGTGCAGCTCAAGGTTTAATGGTTGACCTTATAGGTACTTCTGGCTCTCCAGAGACCTGGTGGATCTGGATTGTGTGGAAACTCTGATCTGGGTCTGAGTTTTTTCATCAAACTACACCCCATGCAATTCTGCATTCCTGACCAGTTTCTGAGTGGTCCTGTACTGATTCGGGGGCAGATTGGCTGCCCTTGCTGTGCCCCAGTGTTCTCCTGGTGGGCTTGTCTCCCTCACCGCCCGTGCTCCAAACACTTCCCATGGGGTGGGCCCTGCACTGGTCCCTTGCTATGACTCAGCGGCCTCTGAATGTCTCCCTTTTTTCAGTTGTTCTGGCTCCTCCCTCCTGTGGGGGTCCGTGGGAACCCTGTTAGTGGTCTTGCTGTCCTGGGGGCTGCCAAGACCCTCTTCTCCCCTGCTGCCTCCAAGCAACTCCATCCAAAGGGCACAGCTGCGGCTTCTGCTGGCTCCTGCTCCATGTGCTCAGCAGTTCCAGCCTTAAGGTGGCTGCGGCCCAAAATGCTCAGGGCAGTTCTTTCTCTCATCATGGTTTCTCCCACCTTCATGAACTCCATAGGTCTCTCCTCTTCCCCTGAGCTCCAGTGGCTCCAGCTTGGCTGATGTTACTTTTCTATAATTGTAAATTGGTTGATTTGTGGGAGAGAGTGATGCTGGGAACGATCTATTCTGCCATCTTGACCGGAACTCTCATTGTGGTTTTTTGATTTGCATTGTCCTGATGAGTAGTGACAACCATTTTTTAAATAACTTGTTGGCTATTTGTATGTCTTCTTTTGAGAGATGTCTATTCAGATCATTTGCCCATTATTTTAATTAGATTACTTGTTTTTTTGCTGTTGAGTTGTTTGAGTTCCTTGTAGATTCTGGATATTAATCCCTTGTTAGATGAATATTTGCAGATATTTTCTTCCATTCTGCAGGGTTTCTTCACTGCTGTTTCCTTTGTGGTGCAGAAGCTTTTCAGTTTGATATAATCCTATTTGTCTGTTTTTGCTTTTGTTGCCTGTGTTTTTGAGATCTTCTTCATAAAATCTTTACCCAGACCAGTGTTCTGAAGCATTTCTCCTGTGTTTTCTCCTAGTAGTTTCATAGTTTTGGTCTTTAAGTCTTTAATCCATTTTGAATTGATTTTTGTACATGATAAGAGATAGGAATCTAGTTTTATTCCTCTGCATATGGATATCTAGTTTTCCCAGCACCATTTATTAAATGACTGTCCTTTTCCCAATTTATGTTCTCAGTGTCTTTGTTGAAAATTAGTTGGCTGTAAATACGTGGATTTATTTCTCGGTTCTCTATTCTGTTCCATTGATCTATGTGTCCTTTTTTTTTTTTTTTTTTTTTTTTAATGCCAGGACCATATTTTGGTCACTATAGCAGGTAGCATGATGCCTCCACCTTTGTTCTTTTTGCTGAGGAGTGCTTTGGCTGTTTGGGGTCTTTTGTAGTTCTGCACGAATTTTATCATTGTTTTTTCTATTTCTATGAAGAATGCCATTGGCATTGGTAGGGATTGCATTGTATCTGTTGATCATGTTGGGAATTATGGTCATTTTAACAATATTAATTCTTCCAATCCATGAACATGGAACGTCTTCCAATTTTTTTGTGTCCTCTTCAATTTTTTTCATCAGTGTTTTATAGTTTTCTTGTAGAGACCTTTCACATCTTTGGTTAAATTTATTCTTAGCTATTTTATTTTTGGGGGTAGCTATTATAAATGGGATTGCTTTCTTGATTTCTTTTTCAGCCAGTTCATTGTTGTGTAGAATCTCTACTGATTTTTGTATGTTGATTTTGTACCCTGCAACTTTACTGAATTTGTTCATCAGTTCTAAGAACTTTCCTATATATTAGTTCATGTCATCTGCAAACAGGGACAGTTTGACTTGCTCCTTTCCAATCTGGATGCCCTTTATTTCTTTCTCTTGCCTAATTGCTCTGGCTAGGACTTTCAATACTATATTGAACAAGAGTGGTGAAAGTGGGTATCCTTTTCTCGTTCCAGTTCTTAGAGGAAAAGCTTTCAGCTTTTCCGTGTTCTGTATGATGTTGGCTGTGGCTTTGTCTTACATGGCCTTTATTGTGTTGAGGTATATTCCTTCTATACCTAATTTCTTGAGAATTTTTATTATGAAGGGGTGTTAAATTTTATCAAATGCTTTATCTCCATTTATTGAGATGTGATTTTTGTCCTTCATTCTGTTGATGTGGGTGATAGTTTCTGATTACAAGTCCAGTAGTATAGAGTTCTTAGTACAGGTACTGACACGCAATAAAGCATTCACTCAGTAAAAGGTAGCCACTAGTATTATCAAAAAGAATAGTATTAAGACTTCATATTGAATATTAATTGGTACAAGTATATAATGTATAAGTTTGTAAAGGTATTGAAACTAAAGCAATATTATTATGTTTTTATAATAATCCTTCTTCTCTCTCTCTGTTCCAGAAATGTTTTGATCATAAGCCTAGAATGATAAGTAAAAGAAATAAAGATAATTCTACTGCTTGCTCTCACCCAGTTACAAAGCATGAGTTTGAAGACAATAAGTATGTTGGTAGTTTCTAACTTTTGTAGTGACAAAATGTATTCTTTTCTTAGATCCAAATAAAACCAGTAATAGTATTTGTGCAGGCCTTTCCTCCTTTCCTTTTGTTGTTGTTTTGAAAAACAATGATTATTTTAAAATGCCTTTTTGTATATTTGGCTGGGAATTTAAAAATTAATTATTAAATTGATTATTAAATATGGAAAGCATTATTGATTTACAGCTTCTCATGACATGGATTTAAGTATTTTATGGCTTAAAATATAATTATCCCCTCTCCCTATTAATCCAATAATTGCATACAATGATTTATTTTTTCTGATAATATTTAAAATGTATTCTCCTTCTAGAACTTGGCATTTATATACATATATATATATTTTTTTCCTTTAATTTGAAAAAGCTGTGGCAGAACGATGTTAAAATGTCACTATGTTTTCATCTTAGGTGCCTTGTCCATATTTTACGAGAGTCAACAGTAAAATACTCCAAAATACGTTCTTTTCATGGTCAATGTCAGCTTGATTTATGTCGACATGAAGTTCGATATGGCTGTTTAAGGGAAGATGAGTGCTTTTATGCTCATAGTCTTGTGGAATTAAAAGTCTGGATAATGCAAAATGAAACAGGTAGGCCTGTGGGTGACTGAGAAATATGTCTCTTCAGAAGCAGTCAGTGTTTGGTGGAACAGGAATTTGGAGACCTACTCTTCTCCAGCAACCTGATGTGGCAACACTGTTGATTTTGTCCTGAGCTTTAAGCTGTGTAGTCACTTGATTTTTGGAATTGCCTATTTTGAGTGTGGTCTCATGTAATTAATTGTTGATACAAGTTCATACATATAGCATGGATTTGTGGGGAAGAAAGATTCCTTAGACAGCGGAAAGAGCTGTATTTGTAAATGTTCCATTTTAGAAGAGAGTATTATCATATTCATTTATCCTTGGTGATGGATTAGGCCACATGAGAATAATTGGGGAATTGAGGATTCTCTAAATCTGACTGCAACCAGATTGGTAGACTGTTGTTATTATACATAGAATTTAAAAGAAGGCTTGTACATTTCCCAGGTATCTCACATGATGCTATTGCTCAAGAATCTAAACAATATTGGCAAAATTTGGAAGCAAATGCACCTGGAGCTCAGGTATTTTTCTCTTGTGTGTTTTCTGCATTTGTATTCTTTCTGGAATTGCCTAATGGATGTTGGTTGTTAGCAGAGGCAATTTAAACTTTCAGTCCAGTTACTTTCTTCATGTTCATTTAGTTGAGAAATTCTTACGTGAAAAAACAATTAGCATTTTAGTTGATCATCATAAACTAAAAAGTAGGCATTCTACTTTCAGTCCAGTTACTTTCTTCATGTTCATTTAGTTGAGAAGTTCTTACGTGAAAAAACAATTAGCATTTTAGTTGATCATCATAAACTAAAAAGTAGGCATTCCACAATAGCTGCCAAGAGTACAGGATACTGTTTTCTTATTTAGCTTAACTGGCAAAACAATTGGGCTCTTGGGCATTGGGGAATCTTGGAGTGAGGGAGATGGATTATGTTTATAGTTTTGCTTCCTATCTGGCATAACTTGTTTATTTACTGCTTCTCCCCACCCCCAAAACACCAAACAATTTCAGTCATCAATTCCAAAGCTGACTTTTATAAACTGAGATTTGATATATTGACAAAATAAAATAAAATTTAAAAAATTAAAAATTAAAAAAATAAACTGAGATTTGACATCTGTAATCTGCTTTTGTCATATTCTCTTGCATTGGGAGAGAACTGGAAATTTAGTTATCAGAGCATATTTATAATGGTCAAATCATGGATCTAGACAAAAACAGGAAATTGTACACCATTGTGAAAAAAATATATATATAGCGATTTAGCATTTTATTCTCAGAAAACTGGTTTTCTGTTAAAATTAAAACTAATCTTTTAATTGTTTAAGGTACTTGGCAATCAAATAATGCCTGGATCCCTTAATATGAAGATAAAATTTGTGTGTGCTCAGTGTCTGAGAAATGGTCAAGTCATTGAACCAGATAAAAACAGAAAATATTGTAGTGCAAAAGCAAGGCATTCGTAAGTATTGTGTGCGCAGAAATAATGCATTTTTTGTAATGTTTCATAGGTATGACATCATACGTATGAGAAAAAAGATTTAAGGCTTTGAAGAGAGCAGAGGAAGGTAGACAATTTAGAAGTAATTATAAAACAAAAGGGAAGAGATTTTTAGGATTTAGTAGCTAAAACTTCAAAACTAATGTTTTTCCTGTATTTTATCAATTCTTTGTTCAGGATTTATAGGGAATGTTTGTAAATATGAACAGGAAGTGAAATTATAGAATCATAAGGCATTTCTTTAGGAGGTTTGAGAAAAAAAGTCTCTGGTCCTTCAGGTACAAACTTTGTACCTCTCCTTTGTATTTTGCCTTTTGCCAGTGTGTCTTTGTTTTTTCTGAACTCCATTTTTCTTAGGTGGACCAAAGATCGTCGTGCGATGAGAGTGATGTCTAATGAACGTAAGAAGTGGATGAACATCCGTCCTCTCCCCACAAAGAAACAAATGCCTTTACAGTTTGATGTACATACGTAATTTTTAAGCCACTTTTTTTAAATTAGGTGTTTCAAATCATTAGAAATTAGTAATTCAGATTGAAACTCAAGCTTTTAAAAAATGCTCATTAGTAATAATGAAATTTAAATGGTTCCTCTGTTTTCCTTTCCCTTTAGAATGTGTGTGGTTCTATAACAGTTTTCATGTTGACTGGAATTTTATGAGTTAGGTGGAAAAAGTAAATAGATAATGGGATCGAGAAAAAGTTATAGTCATAATTTAACTTATTTTTAGATGAATTTTAGGAGAAAATGAGAATTTCATTTAGTTTTGATTCCTCAGGTTCTATATCAAACTCAAGGCCTTCTGTATTATTATGAATATTGTTGATGAGTTTGCTTTTATCATTTCTTTCACTGAAGGAAGTGATACTAGCTAAAAAATACCCAACTTTGTAAGATTTTCTAAAATAAACCCAAAGGAAAATGTTCAATGTTAGAGAAATGTGCTCCTCAAGAACTCTTAGAATGAAGATATCAGACCAACTTAAAGTTAGGATGTATCTCACTCATGCGGTGGCCTGTTTCATCTTGGTACATTGCAGTGCCTTATGTGATCTTGGGGGTGATATCCAAGCAAACCATTTGAGTTGTATCTGGACTTTCCTCTTCACAAGAGGGTCTGGAGAGAGTCTGGAGGTAGTTCACTGTGTGAGTTAATGGACAGGGACACTTGGAGCATCAACAAGTCATAAACTCTCTGCCCCAGTGGAGGAAATATGGAGAGAACCTTTTTTCTCTTTTGCCCAGAGAAGCAGGGCATATGCTTGTAGAGTCTCCTTGTAAATAAGGCCTCCCTCTCTGAACTGCCAGAGAGAGTTAAGGAAGAGCTAGAAGGATTTTTCGTGACCTAGAGTACCTTGTAGTTTTTTAAAACTTATACAAGTAAGAAGGTTTACAAGCTGGTAGTGTCTTTGTGTTTTATCCAAAGTGGTTTTAGACTCAGATTTAATCAATGGGTTATGTAGGAAGGGGAAAGAGGTTTTTGGGAACCGTATCCTCTTGTGCTTTTCAAGATAATGGAGATGTGTATCAAGAGCTTTGTTAGAACGAGGACAACTGAGAAAAATTCTACTTCATGAGGCAGCTGCCTAGGACTACTGATTATTCTCTTTTCTTTTGTCTTTTTTTTTTGACGGTAAGGCGATTGCAACCCTTGGCTTGGTGTCGCCTGCACCACGCTCAGCCAGTGAGCGCACCGGCCATCCCTATATAGGATCCAAACCTGCGGCGGCAGCGCCGCTGTGCTCCCAGCAGCGCACTCTCCCGAGTGCGCCACAGGGTTGGCCCCTACTGATTATTCTTTAATCTTGAACGTGGTATACTGCTATGCAATGTTACAGTAGCTTATTTCCTTTTCTTTTCCTATCATATTAGGTATTGCTAAGGGACCCTTTTTCTAAAAGAAAAAATAATTGTGTGTCTGTGTGTGTAGGCAGTTTGGTGAGTTGCAGAGAACGGGTTTCAAAGTCTGCCAGAGGGCCCTGGTCAAGTTATTCAGCCTCAGTTTGCTCATCTGGAAATGATCCATAAATAATTACATCATAGGGAAAATGACACATGATGGTGTTCTGCAAAAACCCAGCACAGTGTCTGGCCTTCTCCTTTCCTTCTCTTCTCCCTGCTTCTTGTCATTGAGCTTTGAAAGACTATGGTAAATGTTTCCCTAGTGATGTGACTAAGTACTTAGTGGGGTGTGCCTGGGAAAGGAATATGATAAAGTCAGTCACAAGACTGTTTTATTGACTACTGACTTTATGCAGAAGATTTAAGGGTGGGGTCGCTGGCATAGGTCCAAGGGAGGAAATGTGCAGTGGTAAGGGTGGCCTGCTTTTAGAGTTTTAGCAGAAACAAATGCTAAGCAGCTAGTGTTACAAAAGCTAGGTAATATATAGGGCCAGCTCTTGTTGTAACACAAACTAAGATAAGCTAAAAATTACTTGTACTAAGATTTATGGTGTACAAAGACAAGGAGATGATGATATTTAAGAATGAGCTCTTGGCGTAGAGGTTTTCTTGGTTCTGGATAATCGTGATTCTTAGGGAAGTCTGCATTCTGCTGACTACTGTCACTTTATTTTCCTACCAGCATCACTGTATTGTCTTTGTTAAGTAAAAATGCAAGTAATCAGGAGAGGTATTGTTTGAGAGCTGTGTGACTATATGTCCTGGTTAGTGTAATGACTATGCCAGGATTGGCTATAATAAGTTAAATTTCTGAATTTGTTCTAGCACTGTTTAGTAACTATTGGAGTAGACTGCGGTTTCTTTACTGCTTCCCAAGTGCTGACTTGAAGTCATCCAGAGTGTTATGCAGGGAAGAATAGGAGCTGTCAGACTGAGAGGGCCAAAGGTTTTCATGTGGAGATTAAATGTTCTAAATAAGTGATTTTGCAGATATTTTCTTTAAGAAAATGCTCCATACTCCAATTCCATACTTTACTTTCTTTTGGAAATTTTCTATCATTATCATATATTTTGGGCTTATGGTCAATTTGAATAGAATCAAATTAATCTTATTTAAAATTTTTATTACTAAGCATTATCATGGATAATAATGCTTATTTTCCTTAAATATAACAATTAGTCTGTTTTACTAAGTGTACTCTATCTTAAATCATGTTCACATTTTTTTTTTTTTTTACACAGCTGTGCAACCATATTGCTTCTGGGAAAAAATGTCAATATGTTGGGAACTGTTCCTTTGCTCATAGTCCTGAGGAACGAGAAGTATGGACTTACATGAAGGAGAATGGAAGTAAGTTGATGTTTTAGCTGTGTCCTTGACATTTGTGAAATCTAGCTCGTCTGACAGTTTCTTTCCTGTCTATAAATATGTCAGTTTCTTGTAAACACAGAAAGCAGCTTGCATTCCAAACAGTTGTACTGTGTTTTATTAGTAGCTCTCCTGGTGACAATGGCTGGAAAATATGACCACAGCCTCAGTGGAGCAGAATCTGACATCTGATCTGTGTTGGGTTAGGTCACATTTGGATACAAATATATGGGTCTTTATCCTTTGATGTAATAGATTTGTTCCTGAAAAATGGTCTGGGGAAGTTCAGTTCTTCTATTACTATGTGAATCAGATCGTCTTATCCTACTGTGAATAGTCACCCCTGAATTAAGCAGGTTAGAATTGGGGATTTCTTCAAGGAGGCCTTACTGATAGAACAGGCCCAGATTTAAAGGCCCTAGGAGAGAATGTTTATGTTGGTCAAATTTCAAGTTTATTGTGAGAGCCTTTGAGAGGCGCCTCAGACAACCTTTCACTTTTGACCATAAATGTCTTACTACAGAGATCATTGCTCTTTCATCTTAAGTAAACTGATAGAAATACATTGACTGCAATCTCTGGATTACAAGAACCAACTGGATTTAAGAGTGTCACCTGCCATGTTCCAACCACGTATAAAGTCAGTGACTTGCATGGAAGGGACTTCCTCTAGGTGTCTTGCTCCGAGTAATAAGGACAGACAGCCGGGACTTACTGAAGATGTCCTTGCACATTAGGGCTCTTGCAATGACTTCTGCTACCACTGGACTTAGTTTATCTCTAATCATATCCTGATGATATATTTTTAGAAACTCTTAAGAAGACAACAAAGCCAAGTTTTGACCAGATTCTCATTATCCAAGTTTTTATTTTTTATTTGTTTATTTATTTTTATTTTTTGTCTTTTTTTTGTGTGTGTGACCGGCCGCACCGCGCTCAGCCAGTGAGCCCAGTGAGCGCACCGGCCACCCCTATATAGGATCCAAACCCGCGGCAGGAGCGCTACTGCACTCCCAGCGCCACACTCTCCCGAGTGTGCCACGGGGTCGGCCCATTTTTTTGTGACCGGCCGCACCGCGCTCAGCCAGTGAGCCCAGTGAGCACACCGGCCACCCCTATATAGGATCCAAACCCGCAGCAGGAGCGCTACTGCACTCCCAGCGCCACACTCTCCCGAGTGTGCCACGGGGTCGGCCCATTATCCAAGTTTTTAGCATAGCGTTTCTCAACTGGGGAAAATTTTGCCACACACCCTCCCTCTCCCAGGAACATTTGGCAATATCTGGAGACTTTTCAGTGTCATGACTTGGGGGAAGGTGCTACTGGCCTCTAGTGAGTAGACTCCAGGGATGCCATTAAATATCCTGTAATGCACCAGACAGCCCCCACAACACAGAATTATCGAGCCGGAATGTGAACAGCACTGAGGTTGAGAAACCCTGGTGTTAGCACTTGGCAGTAATGCAGAATAATACACTTGTTCTTACCATAGGAAGCAACTGGCAGCCACTGCCCAGGACGTGGTCACAGTTGTGTTGTAAATTGCACCTCAGCATATCAGTCCTCTGGGACTGTGGCCTGATTGGTGGACTACCAGCAGGGTCAGAATCTTGGTCCTAGCAGTGGTATGTTTCTCATCTTTCTCAATAAACAGTGAGGAGGATATAAGCCCCAAGGCCCCCAAGCCATGTAAGTAGCTGTGTGTACTTGTGGCACTGACAACGAGGGTGTGGCATAGGGCGACATGTAGTAGTGCCAAGGCTTTTTTGGCAATGCCCTTATGATGATTTTTGAGTTTTAAACACCCCCAAAGTGTCTTGCAAATGCAGGGAGAAGTTCATTCATCTTGAAAACTAATCTTTGTGGTCTAACGGTCCTGAAGTTAATTCTTACGCATGAGGGTTTACTGGCTGCTTGGACTGGACTATTTCTCTGTGTCTAATATAATCATCCTCCTTCAGCCCTCTGGCTTTTCTTTTGAAAACATACACTGATGGATACAAAAAGTGTGCACGCTGTTGCGTGTATTTAAATGGTGTTTAGTTGTTGGTACTCAAAGTAATTCATTTTTCTTAGTACAAGATATGGAGCAGTTTTATGAACTCTGGCTAAAGAGTCAAAAAAATGAAAAAAGTGATGATGTATCCAGTCAGTCAAACAGGGAGAATGGAAAACAAATTCACATGCCGACCGATTATGCTGAAGTTACTGTAAGTACCATGGGTTATTTCACTGCGCTTCTGCTTCTCAGTGTTGATGGAGCCTTGTCTTTCCTGCCTCCTCCAAAACCTGGCTCCCTGCCTGCCTTTCTGTGGTGTCTTCATCTTCTCTCTTCAGTGCTTTCCTACCATCAGCATAAGTCTCCTTGTGCTAAAAAAATTCCTTTCCTTGATCCTTTTTCTGACTTTGGAGCCGGAGAGTTGCAAGTCCAACCCTGGATCCTCTCCTTACCTGCTGGGACTCTGGGCAGATTATTTATATCTCGAGGGGGTTGTCATGGTGGACAAGTGAAGTACAATGAGTCTATGACACTTACCACAGTGGTAGGCCACAGAGGTGCTCAGGACATGTCCTCCAGTCCCCTCATTCCCTCCTCACTGCCTGCAGCCTGGTCCCTCCCCCTCCATGGTTCAGTGGAGACATTAAAATGCCGGTGGTCTGTTACCGTTTTAGTTATCTTTTAAATATTTCAAAAAAGTTAAGAGGACTATATAATGAAAATCTGGAGCCCACCATTTCAAGTTAACTGATGTTAGCAATTTATTTTATTCGCTTTTGTAAAATAAACACATTACAGATAAATTTGGGACCCTATTTGTCCCCTTTCCCCGAGGGACCAGATCCAGTGTGTTTTTTCCAGGCCATGTTTACATATTGTTGACATATTTATTCTTAAACCATCTGTAGTTCTGCCTGGTGTGTTTTTAAAAATTTATGTTGGGCTGGCTGGTTAGCTCAGTTGGTTACAGCACAGTGTTATAACACCAAGGCCAAGGTTTCTGATGCCCATACTGGCCAGCTGCCCCCAAAAATAAATAGATAAAATAAAAATAAGAATTTACAAAAGCATGTGTGTGATGCTGCTTGTTTCTTATGATTTTTGGCTCCTTTCCATATTGATTCAGTTGGATCCAGGTTCTTTGCCCATTGTGGGGCACGTGTGTGGCCTGGTCTCGCCATGTCTCTCTATTTATGAGGTGCCTGTAAATACCCACCTCTGTCAAGGTTCAGTGCTGATTCCCTTGCTGCCTTTACTTAAGTACTCCTCAGTGTTCCCAGAGTGAGGTCACCCCAATTTGCTGGATCATGATATTTACCTGGGGTGTTTAATAAGATAGATTCTTTGGTTAGATCCCAGGCTTAATGAGTCAAAATCTGTTTTTATTCAGTGTAGCTAATTCTTTTTTTGGCAGCTGGCTTGTACAGGGATCTGAACCCTTGACCTTGGTGTTATCAACACGATGCTCTCCCACGTGAACTCACTGGCCAGCCCCTGCTTGCTCCTATTTCTGACTTTGAGTTCTGTGTCTTTGTCTGGCTCCCCCACCAGATGGTACTCCCTGAGAATGAGTCTAGGTCTTAGATCAGGTGGCACTAGTCCTCCTGGTGCCTGAGAGAATGAGAGGACACTCAGACAACTCCACTGATGGGCCCCCTGTCTTTGCACATACTTACTAGGTGGACTTCCACTGCTGGATGTGTGGGAAGAACTGTAACAGTGAGAAGCAGTGGCAGGGCCACATCTCTTCCGAGAAGCACAAAGAGAAGGTTTTCCACACAGAAGATGACCAGTACTGCTGGCAGCACCGCTTTCCAACAGGATATTTTAGTATCTGTGATAGGTACGGAGGTTCTTAAATTTTTCACGTGAAAATTGCTGATCTCACATGACTTTCATGAACATGATATCAGTAGACGGAGTGTATGAGAGAGAAAGTCTCCTGATATTGCTGTGTCCTGACAGACCCTAAGAGGTTTTGGGCTCAGAGTTTATAGTTGCTCATTGAACATTTTCTTCCCTCTTCTGGAGTTACCGTGGTCCCCCCTCATCTGCAGTTTTTCTTTCTGTGGTTTCAGAAAGATATTTTGAGAGAAGGAAAGAGACTACATTCACATGACTTTCACTATAGTATAATTGCTCTATTTTATTGTTATTTATTGTTGTTAATCTCTTAACTGTGTCTAATTTATAAGTTAAACTATCTCATAGGTACGTATGTATAGGAACATACAGTATATATAGGGTTGGGTACTTCTGAGGTTTCAGGCATCCCCTAGGGGTCTTGGAATGTATCCCCCTGAAGATAAGGGGGCCTATTATATATGAAAAGATTTGTCTTCTGATACTGGTTTGAAGTGTCTTAAGATAATTGAATAGAGATACATGTTCATTTAAATTTGTCCAAATGATCTCTGAGTTCACAGCTGTGATTCTCTAGTACTTCACCACATCCTCAAAGTAGATGTTCATTATATTTGAGACAGCCTTTACATTTCATTTCAAGGGTAAATCTAGAACTTAGGTCAAATGCAAATGTTAGCATTTAACAGTAGCACTCCTTTCTTCAAGTTTTCTTAGGACATTTTCTAGTGAAAAACTAGATAATTTTGAATTGCTCTTCATTTTGTTAAATTGTTGTTTATATTTAGCTTCCAAATTTAGATCCATACTTATCTGTACGTAGGTTGCTAAAAAGGGTTTTCTTAGCTCATTTTAACCCAGATAACCACTGAAGGAAGGCATTTTTTACTTAATACCACGTCTGATTTCTTTCCACTGCATCAGAAATGACTAAAGTCTTTTTTCCCCCTTTAATCAGTACTTTTCCCTGAATATATTTAATTAGTTTAAAGTACTCATTTCTCTATCGTGGATGGTATGGCTGTAAAATACCTGTTTTTCTACGCTTAAGATTTCTAACTGAAAGTTGTATGCAAATCATAAAGCTAGTGAAGTACACATTTTTAAGAGTTGTGACATGATTCTTATAAACTACTTGTAGGCACTTACCATGCTGTCTTGTCCTAACAGGTATATGAATGGTACCTGCACAGAAGGAAGCAGCTGTAAATTTGCCCATGGAAATGCTGAACTTCATGAATGGGAAGAAAGAAGAGATGCTCTAAAGATGAAGCTCAACAAAGCACGAAAAGATCACTTAATTGCCCCAAACGATAATGACTTTGGAAAATATAGTTTTTTGTTTAAAGATTTAAACTAATATGCTGGCTTTTATGTACGTTACCTAATCAGAGCACTGACCAGAAAAATTGAAAGTGTTCTAAGGCACGTAGCAGAGGAGCTGCAGATTTTCTGCTTGTATTGGCGTCTATCGTTCCTCCTGAGCAGCAACCCACAGTAGGTAGGAAAATGGGCTGTTTCACAGTTCTGGCCACGCTCTCACAGAACCATTGGCTCCAATGGTGAAGTGACTGCTACCCGGTTGCCATCTGTTGAACAGACTTTTGGATGGATGAAGTGTGTTGGAAAAGAGGATAAGGTTATGTCTAGGATGACTCATTGAGTTGGTTCCTTCAGATAAGAACCATGATGGTAAGAGAATAAACACTGGTACTGGGATCAGAATACATGATGGATGAAATTCTTTACATGTTTTAGTGGAACGAATTTGTTTAATATAATAAAGTTTGCTACTTATCTGTATGTAGGTTGCTAAAAAGGATTTTCTTAACTCAGATTTTAAGCCAAATAACCATTTAACACTAGTATACGTTAAATGGGGTATTTTTCTGTATTTGTATGTTTCACTATAATAAGGGAACTGAGGAAAACGTGCATTGAGAATATTTTGAAAAATATCAATTGACTCAAGTTTTATTTCTTGGTCTTTTGCTATTTAAATGATGATTTTGAAAGATTAAACTCGTACTGTTGGTATTGCGTAGTGTCTGGACCAATATTGCCTGTAATAAAGATTTTATATATAGATGTCTTCCATTTTTTGGTGTGGTCCTTTCCCCACAAAGAATTGTTGACACTGGGTACAAAAATTACAAATTGTTTTTTTTTTTTTAAACATTTTTAGTTAAGCAATGAGTGACAGAATCCAAATTAGAGGGACATGAAAGCAACTTTCACTTACCCTCCTCTCTTCTGCATTTGGGCCGAATGAGAGGCTTCTCTTATTGATTGACAGGGTAACTCTTCTAGGGGCTCTTCTATGTTTATTCAAATGAGTTAGGTTAGCAGGGAGAAAAATGGCCAGCTAATAAGACTTGGGCTGTGGGATTCCACAGAGACACGGGTTTAGCATGACACCTTTGATAGGGCCGTTTTGGTTGTTGACAGAGACCACTGAAGGCATGGTCAGAATGGGCTGGCAGAGACAAGGAAGGGGCTAAGCCCTCCTCTCTTTAACCGTACCCAGCCTTCAGAGACTGGGGCCAGTGAGCTAGGGAGGAGAGCTGTAGCCAGTGGTGGGGGGTGGGAGGAACCAGTTTGCTACTTATCTGTATGTAGGTTGCTAAAAAGGATTTTCTTAACTCAGATTTTAAGCCAAATAACCATTTAACACTAGTATACGTTAAATGGGGTATTTTTCTGTATTTGTATGTTTCACTATAATAAGGGAACTGATGAAAGCGTGCATTGAGAATATTTTGAAAAATAATCAATTGACTCAAATTTTATTTCTTGGTCTTTTGCTGTTTAAATGATGATTTTGAAAGATTAAACTCGTACTGTTGGTATTGCGTAGTGTCTGGACCAATATTGCCTGTAATAAAGATTTTATATATAGATGTCTTCCATTTTTTGGTGTGGTCCTTTCCCCACAAAGAATTGTTGACACTGGGTACAAAAATTACAAATTTTTTTTTTTTAAAAACATTTTTAGTTAAGCAATGAGTGACAGAATCCAAATTAGAGGGACATGAAAGCAACTTTCACTTACCCTCCTCTCTTCTGCATTTGGGCCGAATGAGAGGCTTCTCTTATTGATTGACAGGGTAACTCTTCTAGGGGCTCTTCTATGTTTATTCAAATGAGTTAGGTTAGCAGGGAGAAAAATGGCCAGCTAATAAGACTTGGGCTGTGGGATTCCACAGAGACACGGGTTTAGCATGACACTTCTAAGGCACGTAGCAGAGGAGCTGCAGATTTTCA